GGGGGCCGCCGGCGGCCATGGGGGTGCAGGACCGGCCCCAGTGCTTCTTCGAGATAGAAATCAACCGGGAACCAGGTAAGGCTTGAGCCTCTGGCACGAACATTTCTCTCAAGTGCTGTGTTTTGGGTTGTTGTTTTGTTGTTCTTGGGTTTTGGGGTTGTTTTTTTTTTTTTACCACATTTTTGCCTTGATCATTGACTCGAGCCGTTAGCAACGAGTTTAGCCATTGGTGGGTTATTTCCGAGTTAGTTTTTAGTAACTTTTGATGCTTGCTGGGGTGCTGGATGCTCTTTTATTCTGTTTTAGGATTGATTTTCATTTGCGTGCACGGAGAGAGAGGTTCGGTGAGGCTAACGCTGTGCTGAAAATACAAAGCATTCTGTGTTAGGAGCGCTGTCTGGTTATCTGTTCTGCACTGACTGTTTTACAAACTAAAATTGGGGCGAGTTGCGAGGAAGCTGGAGAGGTAGCCCTGGAAGTATTTTTAATCATAGAGTAATTAACACTGGAAAGGGACCTCCGGAGGTCATCCCGCCTCGGTCTTCCCTCCTCCTACTCAAAATGAGTCTTTTGAATGTGAATGAAGAAATGACCGTAGAAGCATAGAGTATCTCACCAGGTGGCCTGTTTTTTTTTTTTTTTTTTTTTTCTAAATAAATAAATAAATAAATCTGTCTCTTAACTCATAATTTCTCTACGGGAAGTTAATCACCCAGAAGTGGTAGGCTGTGGATTTTAATCCTGCAATAGCTACTCGATTCCTTTTTCTGTTTTCCCCCACTCTGTAAAAATGGTCGTACAGGTTTACTTACCCACCTTTTCAAGCACAGATTTATTAGTGCGTATTAGTTGTCTCACATACATTCGGTGCTTGATATTGCTGCTGTTTGTCTCTCGGAAAAATGAATAAATGTGATGGCTTCATTATGCTTTCACTTTCATTTTCTGCTTCAATGTTTCTCTGAAAGCCTTTGAAATAAGAGCTTATATCTCTGCATTTTCAGGTGTCAGTTGCATTCAAATGTAACTGTAACCCATTTGACTTGCTTTTTATTTTCGCCAAAATTTCAACAGAAAGATTCGATTCTAACTTCAGTGACCCGATAGGACATATCTATAAATCTGTTGCTGTTGTAAGTCCTCTTTGGGTTATTTTAATTAACAGTGCCTTTTCTGAATACTTTTATTGAAGAGGAAAATGTTAACATAAGTGGAGTTTTAATATTTTCTGTTGCTTTAAAATTCAGACTTACTGTGGAACGAGATTGCTAAAAATGTTGTAGGTTGTGTATGTTTCCAGTTTAGGAATGGTAGTATGATGGGATTGACTTAAAGCAAAGACAATTCATTCTTCATCTCATTTGCTTTTAATCTTTGTTAGGGTTTTTTCCTTTTGACTCTCCATCTAAAGAATGTCTCCCTGTGTGTTGTTTTTTTTTTTTCTTCTATATGTGGGTGTTCCTGCTCCCATTTCATAATACCCCTTGCTGCCTTGTCCCCTCCTCAGCCTTGTGCAGTGCATCACGAGTGAAAGTGGATTACCTTGTTTTGCCTCCCATCTACTTGGGTTTGATGACTGATAGCGGTGTCAGAGAGGAATTGCAGCATTTGTGTTCTTGGTGGCGCAGGGCTTTGGTTACCTGGAGTAGACACAGGGGCTTTGGCTCTGTTCGTGGCTGTCTGTATTTATTTTCTCAATAAAGTAACAGGAATCTCACAGCTGTGTATCGGATTCAGAGCCCTGCTGTTTTTATTGCACCTGACTAATGACTTGTAATTTTTGTTGAGGAAAACATGCCAATTTGTAAAATGTTGGTATGGGGACTGGTTATTCTGCCTTATTCTAGTGTCGGTTCACTCTGCAACTGTGTCTCAGGGTTTAAGGTTATATTCGAAAAAGCTTAAATGTTGCTCTTTTAGCTGTAAGATGACCTTCAGAAGCTGAATCAAGTGTGACTGATAAAGCGGTGCTTCCAGATGACACGAAGCACTAACTCTGAGAGCTGTACTCTCCTGCTGGTATTAACTTTAACTTTTAAACTGCCAGCAGATTGCCAAATTAACATTTTGTTTATTTGACTTTAATACAACTAGCCAATCTACTTGTTCTTTTTTTTTTTTTATTAGATGCTGGGAGAAGGAACTGGGGAAAAGAACAATCCTGGGTTTTGTTGCTAGCCAGGAAATAAGACGGTGCCCCCACCCTGGCTATGCTGAAAAGCTGAACGAGTATCTTTCCACAAAATGCAGAGAATTATAGGACGTGCCTCTCGCAGTACTGGAGACATCTCTTTGCCTGCAGAATACAAAACTGTGTCATTTTTAACAGTGTAGGTTGCTTGGAGTCCAAAAACGTTCCCCCACGCAGCTGCCAACTCTTAGCTTTCCTTGTACAGCCTCTGCTTACCCAGTGTTTGTCAAGAGACCTGTAGCAATGAAAAATAAGAGAGCGGTGCACAAACTGGGTGAGGAGAGCGACCAAGGGTGGTGTGTGTGTGCCTACGTGAGAGAGGAGGGGACTGCAGAGCTTGAATTAGTTTCACTAGATCCCTGAGAAAATACAGGAGTGAATACTGTAGCTTTGGTGGTGCTTTCAGAAGCTTTATTACAGCTTTTGCGTCCATCTTTTACTTTTAGCTGCAGAACCTTGGGATAAAACTCAGTGCCTGCTTGTACGGGCCCCTTGCAGTGGGGTAAACTTTGGAGGCTTTGTGGCAGTGGGTTTTAAGTCTAAGTTCAGGCTGCTTTTTGTAAGCTGCCTGTTGAGCATTTTTTAATGAATGCACGTGGTGGTTCCCAGTTTTTAAAAAGCACGTGGAGAATAGATCAGGAATAAGCACGTATTTTGATACCAGCACAGACAGCACCTCTCCCTTCTTTCGGGTCCCCCCTAACAATGGATTTGGACGTGTACAGCGTGGACATGGGAGTAAACTACTTAGAGTATTCCAGAAATCTTGGGATGGCAGCAGATGCCTATTTAAATAATTCTGTCTTTACTCTCTGATGCAAAATCTGTGTGGAGCTTCAGTCTTTCAGGTACCGTGATAATTAGAACAGATGTCTGACTAGGGTCTTGCATACACTGCCTGCTGCTGTAGCAGTTCATGTGGCCATCCAAGATGTCTTTTTCACACATCTCCCCTCCCCAACTGGCTCTATCCGTCATAAAATATGTTATATTTACTCATTTTTGCTTAGTTTTGTTCTTATTCACAGATGAATTTTCCTTCTCAACTTTTAAAATCTTTTTCTCCTGTTTTCTGTTACTGTTTCACCGCTTTTTCCTTCCGCTTTGGTTTCTTTCCTTGCTGGGGTATGTCCCTTCCTTGATCAATGAGTGTTCTTTCATTCCTTCTCTCCTTCTAGTCGCTTTTGCCTAAAGTTTGGTGTATTTGGGGATTTCAGCTGCTATGAATTTATGTGAAATAAGCTCCGCTGCAAACGTCACTGTGGTAAGGTGCCTGCGCTAGTAGAGCCAGGGATGCCTTATGGGGTTTTTGTTACCCTTCCTGAAGACAGAAGGTGTTCTTAACTGCCTTCCCATTAACTTCTGGCCCTTTGAAGGCAGAAAATAGATCAGCGCTTTGTCCTTGAACTGGCTGGCCCTCCAGTCGAGTGGGGTACAGCAGGAGCCAAGGGGACATGCTGTGTGGGGAACCTCTGTCAGGGGGCTTAAGGGAGACAGGATATAGACAGGTTCGGGGGGAACTGGTTTAATAAAAGTTGTAATTCACTCATTATATAGAATTGTTGTCGGTGCAGGATGGAATACCCTGAAAACTTACCTTGAGGTCTAGAACAGGTTGGATTAGTAATGGAAGACCAAACCGATCAGCCTCTTCTGCGAGGGGAAGGCAAAGTGTGGTCCCTCACGTGCGTATCTCTGAAACTGGAACAGTGGGTGGTGGTCGCGTGCGGTGATGAAATCTTTTGTGGAGACCGCGGGAGATCTTCAGGTCGTGTTTGTGACAGAGTGGGCTTAGCAGAGAGCTCAGGGAAGAAGTTTGTGGAGGCTTTCCCCCGCGAGGAGCGTAAGGTCGGGTAAGGAAGCCTTAACAAAGCGTTAATGTGGTGAGACTGTATAACCCTGCTCAGGGGAACTGGGACATCCATTGTTTTAACTGATGTTTTAAATAAAATATGTTCTTTTTCCACAGTAAGCTTTTATTTTTCTGAAAGGTGTAGCACGCTTCTACTTCAAAGCAGCCTGTTTAAGTCTGTATGACTCGGTGATGTCTAATTTAGGCATAAATAAATTAAAATACAGTCATTTTAGTGAGCTGTTATTTAAACTTGTCTGCAAAGCTAGTTAAGCCAGTGGGCCTCTGGCAGACATCCTGGTCTCGGTCTGTAAGGGATGTGCATCCCTGTCTTAACGGTTGTAATCTCCCTCAGCAGGATATTCCTGTTGATATACCGGGAATACCGCTGCAATGGCTTCTTACTTGGTTTGCTCTAAGAAGCTGGGAAAAGGCAAACCCAAGACATTTAAATTTAATTTTGAATAACTGGCTTTATTTTGGGAGTATCTGAGATTGACACCTTGATGGCCTAAATATAACATAATCTAGCAAAACCGTTTGTATTACCGTCATTACATTACATTGCATTGCATTCAAGCAGTAGGTGTTTGGCTCCTGAGATTCTCTAAAAAGTTAAGCAGCTAAATTGGAGGAAATTACTGGATAAACATTTGAAATCAATGATCATTTTAAAAACGCTTTGCTAGCAGGAGCCCTTATTACAATATATCATGGATATTCCTACTCTGATTTTTTTTTTTTTAACCACTTAATTTGAATCAAGTACTAGTTCTTACTCAGCTGAGAAATTGGTAAGGGGTTCAGAAACAAAACAAAAGGGAAAAAAGTTTTCATCTTTCAATTTGAAAATAGAGGTCTGAAATGGGATTATTTCTGGTCATTTTGCCTTCTGGTTTCTGTAATTGATACAGCTCATTAGCTACAGATAGCACTTTATGAAATCGAACTTCAAAACAGCTTAGACTTTATATATGCATCCCTGTGTAATTATCAGTAATGGAAACACTTCTTTCGTCGCTTACTCTGATTTTCATCAAAAAACACCTTTAAAAATAAGTTAAAAGCCCGACAACAAATAAGACTACTTTTATCAAAGTATTGTTTTACAAATACTAGGCAGCTGTTAAGTTATGGTTGGATAAATTTCTATGGTGTTGGCTGGCACAAAAAGTACAGCAAAGTACTGTAAAATCTACACTGTGGCATGGACGAGCGCGTCTTCACAGCTATGAGCTGGTGAGAATCAGTCTTCTATTGAGAACAACGCTAAATGAAAATTAGAGAGATGTCCTGCCTGCTGATGCATGAAAATAAAGATTTTCATATTTTTTATGACTTCCTCGTGGTACTGGAAGATTCGCATCTCAAGTAAGGCGAGAGTTTCATTATTAAAAACACAACCCCAGCATTTTTTTTGCCGTAGTCTAGAGGTGAGGTGTCTCTGCAGGCTCGCTTCTTGGCTCAGGCTGCCTGAGGAGTCTGGATAGGTTTGTGAGCAGACTTCAGCTATGTGAAGAACTCTTCGTAGCGATTTTTGGGTTGTTTTAATTTACTATTCAGGTCTTACGGTTAGTCACAGAAAACTTGTTCCGTCATCAGATAACTTAACCTTTGTATTGGGGAAATGAAGCTGAAGAAAATACTGGAAATTTTCTCTGTACGGTGAAGATGGCTCATTTCAGAGAAGAGGTGTCTAAATCTGAGGAAATTAATAACATATCAAGTGCTTTTTTAATGTTATGTCAGCACTTACTTTAGCTCCAAGTTTAAAATGAGATGATTTTTTTTTTTTTTTGAGGTAAGAGAAAGATCTGTAGGTTCTAATCTTTTCTTACTTTTTATACAGATTTTTTTTTTTATGAACAGCTGTGATTTCATACAAGGTGTGAAAATGTGTTTGGTCTTTCTCTGGCGCATTTAATGAACTGTTTGTCAGTGGAAAAGACTTTCAGTGCTTCGTTAGCTTTCGTTAGTGCTAATGGTGTTCATACAATGTAGGTAAAATACAGGTAGTGACCCACCAGATGGACACCCGGTGTGTGGTTTGGGTATTGTAAGCACATTTTACGTAGCCAGATAGAACAAGGTAAGCAGGACTTTAGGTTACATGGAGGTGAGATGTCCTCTTTTAAACTGCACGTGTGGTCTTTTGGTGATGAGCGTGTGCGTTACAGACAGTTGGTGGGAGCTGACGGGCACGGGAAGCTGGTGGACGTAAAAAAAAGTAGTGAAAGGTGCTGTCGAAGTCGTGATGCCTTCGTTATGAGCGTCTCTTTCCATGTTCTGCCTTGACATCTTCAAGAACTTAAGATGACGTTCTTCTCCCCAGAACGCAGAAGCGGTGGTGTCTGCTGCTTGAGGTGCTAAATTCGGTGGGGTTTGTCTGTGGGACAACAACTTGCAAGGCGAAGGTTTGTTCTGCAGTTCATGCCTGAGGGCAAAAGTCCCTTGTGGAGCCCACGGGCAGTAACACCTTTAGTTATTTGGCAGTTGCCCCCTCGGTCAGTCAGCAGCAGGTCTGTATTTCCCTGCTCTTAGCAGAATGGCGATAGGGACGATTTTTTTCTCCGAAAGGCATCGTGTTATTTCTCGTAGCGAATGCGAGAGGAAATCTGCCCGTGCCTTCCTGAAGCTCAGCTCAGGAAGCTGCTCCGTTCTTTGGCGCTTCTGCGAGCAGAGAGGATTGGGATTTGGGCTCTCCGGAATTGCTGCGCTTGTAATGAAAATTGATAACTCTTTTACTAAACTGCCTTTTCTCTGTTGTGCTCTCTGTGTGGATCTTCAATCCACACAGCTTATGATGGTTTCTTCACTTCCAAAAAGATGTCTTTTCGTAGTGGTAGTTACTGACACAACTGTTTAATGTGAGGTCCTTGAATATTCCCTGTTTCTTCGTTCTTTGGAGATGGTCCCTACCCATTTTCTTTAGGTTTTCCTGCCGCAATGACGAATGCTCAGAACATTCTTACTGCAGTTAATGAGAGGCAAACGTTTCAACAGCTGAAGGCATCTTGCATTTTTGTTCAACAGGACAAAATACAAGTGGTCTCGGTGTTATTTTATTTCTCCCCTTTTTTGAATGAACAGTTCTCCCTGTTGGCAATTGTATGTTTGGACAAAGCCTTACTTACAATTGAACACGGTTTCTTAGGAGCCTCTTAGACTTTTTCTTGGTGATGAACTATTGAGTAAAATGCATTTGAACTTCAAATTATTTTTTTTTGTCTTTAGGGGAAGGAAGAGAGAAATAATTCCTGCAATAGTTACTTTTTTGTAATTATCTTTGGAGTCTTACCAGTGTACACCGCTAGAGGGTAGTGCTCATTGACAGATCGTTACTGGTTTCCTTGTAATGCTGGCCAACAGTGTTGCTTTTATGGCTTATTTCACAACTTAGAGATAACTTTTTCTTTGCTAATTATGTATTTTGTAAAGATTTAATCTATTTGGGAGATTTTTCAGTTATTTTCTTTTGTAGTGTATGTCCCAGGATCTGGGAAAATAAAATAGAAAAGTGTGAATCCGTTCTAAAATAGTTTTTCTTTGTATGAAATGACTCTTCAGCAGTATTTTAATAGTTCTCCAAGGTACATAGGATAAATACCACCGATAGCATGGGAGTAGCTGTACTGAGAGAGAATTGCTGCGGTCGCTTTGCGTAGACAGAAGCACTGTCTGGTTCATAGTGTCTGGCAAGTGGAGCGTTAGTCCTGCAATTGCTGGTATTGTTCTGCCTTTCGTCTTTCCTGTTTGGTTCATCTATTCTTTTATTTTTAAACTAAAGGATTTTAGGCCAGGGGTGCCAATGACTAGAATCCTTAACACAGTATGGGACTAAGTCAGCTGAACTTTTTAGGTAATGATCACGAGGAAAACTGGAAACGTAATTCTTCATGTACTTGTGTTAACGTAGAGCTTGGGGCGGTGGGTGAATGACTGCAGCGCTCTGAGGACCTGGATTTATGGTGAATCTTCTCTTAGTCAAAAATAGAAGTGAACCGATGTGATAAAGTGTTTTAGTGAATCAGTTTGGCTTTCCAGGTTCAAATCAAAATGGAATCGTTAGGATTTTTTAGTAAGTCAGATGTAATTACATTACTTAATATTCTTTTTTTTTACAATATGGTATCATTCTTTCCTGCTGCTTGTTTTAATACATGCGTATTTGAGATGTTTTCTTAGTATGTTTGATAAAATAACTTTTCCCCAGAAAATTGTATTTTTAAAACATGTCAATTTATTTATATGCAAATTTTCTTACATCATTATAAAGAGTTATAAAACTCAATTTTTTTTTTATCTTCTAGTTGGTCGAATTATGTTTCAGCTCTTCTCAGACATATGTCCGAAGACTTGCAAAAACTTCCTTTGCTTGTGCTCAGGTAAGAAGAATGCTGATATTAAAGATTATTAATATTTCTTACAATTATTATTTGTTTATGCAGGTATAAACCACAGGGTAATAATAGTCATTTCTTTTCTGGTAAAAATGAAGCTGAGACTTCTTAGCACTGAGGAAGATTTGAATAATGCATAGCAGAAAATAATGTGGTATTCTAGAACTGTGACTGAGTTAGGGTAATGGAGGCAGTACATGGTTACAGAATGCAAAACTGAATTTATGGGACAAAACATAAAAACACTTTTGGGGTTTTTTCTGTCCCTAATGTCAGACTCCTGTAGATAAAGTGACTGACAAGGCTGAGGCTATGGTGGAATTATTGATGGCTCGAGTTACACAAGTGTGATAAAGGCAAGCAATTCCTTAGGATTTATCAGGAGAGACATTATTGAAGTCACTGCACAATATAATGGTGACATTTGACTTAGGACACTCCATGAAATTTTGAATATATGTAAATTTTTTCTTCTATAAAATGTTGATTCGATATAATCTAAAATTTGAGTGTATATCGGGTTCATAGAAATTCTACACAGGGATCAGAGGACAGGAGCATCTATTAGACCTGAGAAAACTGTTTCATTTCTAGCTAAAGGAAGGACTTAAAGGGAACAGTATGGTGCCTAAGAAATCCTGGGATTGTTTGGTAGGAGAGAAGAGATCCGTGAAATCAGAGAGCATCAGCAAAAGAATGTCTAGGTATCATGTAGCACCCTCCAACCCATTTTTTAAGCAGGACTTCACTTTTTAAAACTGATTTCTAATGATTGTAAGAGTAAGGGTAGTAAGGGTTTGGTGGGTTTTTTTTGGTCTGCACTGTTCCTCAGGGATTTTTCAGCTGTAAATTAAAGATTAATCTGGATGAAGTTGTTAGAGGAATTGGTGTGTGTTATTTATGTGAAGAATGCTTTCTGTGTCTCTTGGTGATCTCCTGGTCTTTTATAGCTGAATGCTCAGCAACTTGCAGTATACCTTGAATTAACTGCACCAGTGGAGCCTCTACCTTGTGTATGAAATAACTCTTTTCCAAATCATTAAAACGCTCCAGCAAGACATTCCAGGCAGCAGTTTAACATCTGGGTTTAGTGAACAGCCTTTAGCTAACTGGTTACGGGAAACATGTTGATATCCTTATGCATTAACTTCTTCAAGTTCATCTTGTCAGAGCTCAAATCCCAGGGTGTGGTGTGTTCTAGATAATCTCTGTGAAGATTTAGAAGAGCTTTATAATACTGTGAACTTGTGGAAGGTACCGTACCTATCATTTTTTTCTGAGGTCTGTGTGGTTCCCCCCTCTTTTTATCTTACTTTCTGATTATTTTTTTTTTTTAATCACTTCTGCTTATTAAAGAGATACCTAGGGATAGACGGAATGGGAAAGAATGGTGCAGCTATCATAGAAAAATGGGAACTCGTTTGAAGGTTATCATAATCAAAATACATTAGAAATGATAAGAAATAAAATGCAGTAGCAGACTGAATAGCATAATGTCTGAGCTTCGTGTTCTGTAGCTCTTGTTTAAATCTTTACAGCAGCTTTGCTAGAAAAATGTTAGGTGGAGATAAAGGAAGGATAAGGTGCTGGAGATGATGAGGAATGAAACAAGCAGAAAAAAAGAACAACTTAAAAAAAGTCTGACTTCTTTGTATTGCATCCCTGTTTGAATTCGGCTCTACAGCTGGCTGTACAGGTTTCATTGAGGTCTTCAGCTGGAACCTGTCTTTAATTGGAAGAACATGTAAAACTATGGAGGTCTACTCTTGAGATCCAACTTGCAGACTCAAAAGCTACCTGAAACGTTTGTTTCATTCTTGCAGATTGTGTTTGCTACTGCCTACTCGTAGGATAGAACGGGGATTTGACAGATATCTTAAAACTTGCTAATAAATACATGATAATTAAATTCTGCAGGGGAGAGAGAAAAGCATATAGAAGAGCCTGAAGTAATTTAATTTCTTTTGGTGAATGTGATGCTTAAGAGTATTGAGTTATATTCGTTTCTTTTGCTGTTAGAAGCCGTCTCTCTTCTGCTGTGGTGGTTCTCAAACTTGAACTCAGGATGGCTGAGCTTGGAGGCTAGAGTTGCACGGCTAACGCTAATTCTTCTCTTACTTGCACTAATTACATCTGTGCTACTGTTCAGTTTGCCTGAGGGGTTCTTTTCCTATCAAACTCTGCTATCTGTGCCTTTCTGCTTCTCCTTGACAAGTTCTTGCAGTGCACTTGTTACTGCTAGTTGATCTGCGTTATGCGTGCCGTCTTCCCTGCCCTCCTGCCTTGCACTGTCAGAACCTTGAGTGCCTCAGAATCTAAGCTGAACAGTGCACGGGGAGGGCAGGAAAGCTCTGCAGAGGGACCTGGACAGGCTGGATCGATGGGCTGAGGCCAATGCCATGAGGTTCAACAAAGCCAAGTGCCAGGTCCTGCCCTTGGGTCACACCAACCCCACGCAGCGCTGCAGGCTGGGGAGGAGTGGCTGGAAAGCTGCCCGGTGGGAAAGGAGCTGGAGGTGCTGGTCAACAGCCGGCTGGACATGAGCCAGCAGTGTGCCCAGGTGGCCAAGAAGGCCAACAGCCTCCTGGCCTGTATCAGCCATGGTATGGCCAGGAGGAGCAGGGA